CTATTTTAGGTTTGAGTGCAAATGGCACTCGCCGCGGTTTGAGGCGGATAGGGGCAACATCTGGGTTAAGATTGAAGGAGATTGGGGACCCCTTGTACTTGCCTAAGGTGTTGTCAAAGACCTCTTGGAAGTCCTGGGCAAGTGCTACTTCCCAATCCTCTTCGTTTGTGTGGTGGATGCCAGCCATTTCTATCCCCAGCGGCTCGAACCATTGTAGCCCGAGCAAACTGGGACGGTCATTGTCCACGATGGTGAGTGGCAATATGTTGGTGCGGCTTTTGAATGTGATTTTGAAGTGCCTGATGCCGGTAACGGGGATGCGGTTTCCCTGGTAGTCTCTGAGAATCAGCTTTTGGTCGCTTAGTTCGTGTCGGCGGATGCTGGGTATTAGGCGCTTGATGGTGTGCCAGGAGACCATGGAGAGGGTAGGAACCCGAATCCACCTCCATGGAGCACGGTTGGTTTTTGATGTTTACTGTTACGTGTACTTTTCGGGCGTCTATGGTAGAAGAATGGGCAATGACAACCGTTTCATGGGTCTCTTCTTTCCGCGGCGCCTCGTTGAAGCGTTTGGTCAGGCCATCTCGGCTCCATTGACTGTCAGTCTGGTGATCTCGATGCTTTGAGGGGGTGCCATCTCGTCGTCTAGGGCTGCCGCCTTGGCGCCGGGGACTGTGGTTGCGTTTATTTCGGCAAACTTTTGCAATGTGCCCCCGCTTCTCGCAATGCCGACAAATGGCGTCAAGGAAACGGCATTCAGAGCGGGGGTGATCGCCTCGGCCCCCAGCGCACTGGAACCCCGACTTACGACCCCGCCGGTCTCGTTGATCGCGTTCTGATTGAAGCCGGTGAATTTCTTCCTCCTCGTAGTAGCTGTCAGAGGGGGATTCGATGTTGCCGTGGTGGGTGGAGGCAGTGTGTTTCTCCGGTGTCGAGGCCGTCTCGCTGATAGGATGGCGGTTGGTTGTATTTGATTGCCGCATTCGAGCCGCTGATTTGCAGGTGGCTTCTACTGCCGTTGCTTCTGCTATGGTATTGGCAAGGGAGATACTGCCTTTTGCCATCAACTTGCTTTGTAGTGTGGGGTCTTTTAGGCCGAGGACAACCCGATCTCGCATGGCCTCTTCTTAGGTCTGTGAATCCGCACAACCCTCCTAGGTCCCTTAGATCAGCCACGAATTCACTGATGCTCTCACCTTCGCGCTGGTCTCTTCGGTAAAAATCGTGCCGGTGAATGAGTGTGGGTACGGCTGGAGCGTAGTGGTTTTGGAGGATGGGTGCGAGGTCGTCCCAGTCCATCGCCTTGACGTTTGCAGGTTTTGCCAAAGCCTTGGCCATTTTAAAAACGGTGGGTCCGCAGTGTGTTAGGAATACGGCTCGTTTCCGGTTGCCATTGGCGCCTTTCAGGTTGCTGCATTCCAAGAACATTTGGAACCGGTTGATGTAGGACTCCCAGTCCTCCGTGGCCGGATTAAAAGGTGCGGGTGGCGTGGTGTTGCTGGCCGTCTTGGCGGTTGCTTTGCGCCGTTTGCCACATGCTGGTTAGTCTCGTTGTCTTCTTGATCCCATCCTTCGTCGCCAGTGTTAAGTTCGAAGGGTTGGGCTCACAAAGACGAGAGACTCCGGTTCAGTAACAACAGCTCTTTATTCAACAGTAAATTCAGCTTGAAAGAATAGCAGCCGCGGCAGCTCTGTTATAGAGCTCGCCAGGGCTTTAGCGGCCAATGACTTCGCTTTGAGTCTCCCGCGCTTGGTATTGACCAATCGCGGCAGACTCTTAGCGAGCCAATCAGAGTCACCCGGTTTGTCCAATCAGGTAGCAGTTAATTGAACCAATAGAAACGCAGGGTTTCAAGTCTATCGATATGGAACACCAAGCATTCAGATGCCCTATGCCCAGTTTGGCCACAACGATAGCGACTTAGTCAAGAATGTAAGAGTCAGGGACGTAGATCCTTTCTGCAGCAATGGGGACCCTGTGGAATTTAAATCCTCACTCCATTGAGCACACACAACTGAAGTTTTTCTTGCTCACTGGTTACCAATAAGAGGCTTCAAGCTTGCTTGAAGAGTCAGAGTTTAGTCCATGTTTCTCAACCTTGATACCTTTAAAATGGATGAATTCTGTTAATTGACGTCCACCCATTTTATGCCTATTTGAGAAGTCATAAAGTTGAGAAACGCTAGCTTAGTCACTTACTCGTGAAGCACTGACTTTGACAGAGCATAGGGCCTGCAGGCTTGGAGGAAATCTCCCGAATAGAATGGGAACTTAATCAGTACTCTAAGCATGCTTCTTCTAAGATTGCTACCACATGTGTAAAATAAACAGCTGTAATTCATTCCATATCTTTTACTGCCTGTCTGCAGCCATGAAAGACTGGACCTTTGCATTTTGTTTGCTGTAAACAAAAAATAAAGTGGAACATCTTTGTCTTTTTTTTACTCTTGGTTGAAATGATAGAAATATTGGCCAATTTACCGTTTAGCCCAGGTGACAGGAAGTACTGTAAAACAGTTGTTGGGGGTTTCTTCATCATTCCTCAAAAGTTATGCCCATCAAAGATAAAGCAGTTGCACTTACTTTTCAAAGGTGGGGGGGGAGGGAAGCTAGGAAATCACTCCAATGGGTTATATGTTTCCATATAGCCCAAACAAAACACATGGGCAACTCTGTGGCTAAAGTAAAAGAAGGGATTGAAATCCAGAAAGGGATTTCTTAAATCTGGTATACAGAGCAAAATAACAGAAAAGTCCTTAATCATGTAATGATTCTGTCTGTGCATCAACACCAGTGATGGGATTCATTTTTTTTTTTTTACTACCGGTTCTGTGGGCGTGGCAGGAGAAGGATACTGTAAAATCTCCAGTCAGAGGTAGTATTTGACGGTTCTCCGAACTACTCAAAATTTTCTCTACCGGTTGTCCAGAACTGGTCAGAACCTGCTAAATACCACCACTGATCAACACCCCTTTGATTAAAGAAACAATAAATATATCAGTCTTGGTGAAACAATGGTTCCCGCAATCACTTTCACATATTTGTTTCAGAGGCTTGTGAATAATAGCTTAAATAAGCAATGATTTTAGTAACCCTGTTGTCAATATGGTTTTAGCAGAATCTTAATGAAGAAATTTCAGGTAACCCTATTTATCAATATTGCCTTTTCAGGAATATGCTACAGGTATCACCACTTTCTCTTAAATACCAAAGCAGCACTTATGTGTTATAAGCTGACAATAATTTTAACATACCAATATAACTTTCACACATAACCTTTCAAATAAAATGTAAAGTTTCCATTTCAGTGGTATCAAATTTGCTTTATGTGAAATAGATAACAGTTGCTAGCAAACATCCAAATGTGATACTGATTAGAGAACTGTAAAAAAATCCCAGTGAGACATTTGTAAGTTTGTAAGCTGTTAGAACATTTTTTAAAAAGCAGCAGCATAAGACTATCTTCCAGAATTGCACTCCTACATTTTTATGCACATGAAGAAAATTCTCTGATCAACATAAAATTGATGAGTATAAAATGGAGGGACTATTTTAATGCAAATAAAGTTTGAATAAAAGGGCTTTTTTTTTAAGTACAGCATCTGGAGCAAGAAATAAAGTTTAGTGAGTGAGAGCCCTTTGTTTTTGTACTGAAGGAAGTTAGGGAAAGAAAAAATTATACTATATTATAGTTGGGAAGAGAAAAATAATATTCAGAGTTTTATTGCTATGGTTTTTTTGATAAAATACTTATATGTGCAAGATCTGTTCTATGTAGAGAAGCTAATGTGTCTGCTAGAATAAAACTGAAAATAATTCTGAGGTTCAGGAAGGTTATCTGCTTGATGAATTCTTTTTGATGTATTCCTAGTTATCTATTTTTATCTCAAATCAAGGCTTCCAAAGTGTTTAATCTGTAAACAAAAATAATAGAAATGAAGTAAACTAGTTGAAGTTTACTTAAAAATTTAAATATTTCCTTTCCGTCTATCTTGAAAGACTCTCCCAGCTAAAATTCTATGTTCAGAGAATCTGAATGTTCTACGTACTCATTTTTTTCATTCATGATTTTTATTCCTCTACTACATAATTTCCAAATATTTTTAAGGTATATAATTGGGGTGGGAACCTCCATCACTCTCACAATTTTCAAATTATCAGTTTTCATTTTAATACAAAAACATCATTGTATTATTAGAAATGAGCTCCATGTCTTCAGTGAGAGTTTGAGCAATCTCACTTGAAGATTCTGCACCACATCTAAACCAGATCTGGATCTCTGTGAACCCACATGGGTCCTGTTGAGAGGTTATCCCATAATTCTGGGCTTCCCTGCAGCATATTTAAAATGAATGTAAAATTATTATTATTATTATTTTAAATATAGAGACTGCAAACAGCTTGTAACTGATCTATTTCCACAATTGCTGTAATTCTTTCCTCCCTCCATTTCTTAGCTGCTGATTCTAACAGGTCTGTTAAGTGGGGAAAAAATCAGCTCCTCATCTCCTTATACAACTACAGAAGTGTATACAATATGAAGCAAACAAAGTGGGTGATTATAGGGGCCAGCAATTTATTTTATTTCTCTTTTTCGTGAATGGAAAAGTGGATAGAATTCATGTTTTTAATATGTGGGGAATGAACATATGTAAATTATGCTCCTTCACATAAGGGATACCTGACTTTGGTCCTTCTTAGAATTTACCCGATTTCTCTGGAAACAGAAAGTTGGCATATAATTAAGCTACTTGTACACATACACCTTTCACTGTATGCAAACTGTGCCAAGAACCTATGAACTTACCTGGAGCTAACATAAAGGTGTCAACTAGCAGCCAACATGACATGGAGATCTTCTAACCGCAAGTAGCTGTTTTGCACTTTCAAGAAAAGAAGCCCTCTCCTTATTTAATCATTTGTCAGTGCTCTTGATAAGCAGAGAACATCAGGAAGAACAGCCAGCCACAGTTCCTCTCAGGATAAGTCTTGAAAATCCATGGCTCCTGGCTCAGATCTTCATGGAAACTATCAGGATCCAGTGAAGGAAGTGCAATTCTACATCATGCCCCTTCCTCTCAGCTCCAAGAATGTATGGATAGTGGTGCTCCTGAGTAGAATCAGCTGGACAGTAGGAAGCATAAACTGTCCCAAGGAATGTATATGCCAATACCTAGCTGTCAATTGCACAGGAAAACTGCTGGAAGAGTTCCCAACTACAATTCCACTGGATACCAGGCAACTGGTTCTGGCTCAAAACAAACTCAGCTACCTGCCCTCACTAGAGTTGCATTTTCTCAGTGACTTGGTCTATCTAGATTGCAGCAGCAACACTTTAGGCAAGGATCTGGATTTCACTTTTGTCAGCATGATCAAGCTTATCTACTTAGATCTCAGCTTTAACAACCTCACACAGGTAACATTTGGCACCTTTTCACAGCTCAGCAGTCTGGTGGTGCTAAAACTCTCAGACAATCCCAGCTTGATGGAGATTGAGAAGGATTCTTTTGCTAACAATACCTGGTTGAGGCACCTAGATGTGAGCCGCTGTAGTTTGATGTTCATTGATACAAGTACGGTCAGGGACTTGCCTAATCTGAGAAATCTGGGTTTAGGTGAGAATCCCTGGTTCTGCAATTGCTCCTTCATGGAACTATGTAGCTGGTTAAAGGAGAGTGGCATAACTATCCTAGGTGAGTTTGAAAAACTGGGATTATAATGGATGTATTCTGTTCTCAAACTAGAGGACTATTGTATAACCAGCAATTTTGCACTGAACAATTTTTCACTGAGTGCAATTTTGTGCTGTTTCTCCTCAGCTCATAAAATAAGGAATGTAAACTAATACATTTTATACTTGTGGAGTTGAATAAAGATCTCTTTAAAATGAAACTAAAAAATTCTACATCAAATAAGAGACTAATCAGATAAAACAGTTCAAAGGGACCTTGGAGATCTTCTAATCCAACTCCCTGCTCAAACAGGAGACTATTCTTAAAAACCTCTAGTAATATGTATGATTCTTGCATTAAAAACAAAGGCATATCTTTTATTTATAATTTTGCTATGTATTGTTGTTGTTGTCTTCTTTATAATTAAGATTGGCAAAACATCATGTAGCTCACAAAATATTTCAGCTTACACATGTGGTTTTATACTATTTGGCTTCTTCCATCAGTATTGCTCAATAGTCAATTCCTATTTTTCATGTGTCTCAGAAAGGCAAATTGGATTGAAAAATGAATGTATTGGCTAAGAGAGTTCCACTTCTCACTGATGTCATACAATTCAACTATAGAATTGCTGTCCACTCTGTGTCAAAGAGCAACATTGTGTGTGTGAAATAAACACATCATTTTTCTGGTTTATATGAGGGTGATGGTTAAATTTTAATGCTTAGTGTAAGTTGATCTAAGAGCAGGAGCTCCTTTTTCTTTTCCCTAGTTGAAATAAGACACATATTATTCCATGCTAGCCAATAGCACAAGATAACACTGATAATTTGGTGGCTTCAGTTGACTGCTGTCTGTGTGGTCAATTCATGCCATTCTCTAAAAGTAAGATAAGGATGTATGATATTCTGGGACTTAATATATTTAAGGATGAATGTATAAAGAACCTTGTAGTGATGTTACAGACATATTGGTTAGTATGTGAATGTGCACTGCATGTGTTATGTATACAGAATATTCTATATTGTTGGTTGAAAGCCTGAATGATTTGCAACATCTGGACCAAACAATAAAAACATAGAACAAAGAGATGCAAAACATGTTAAATTTTTGCTGTTATATAGTGATCACAAGTCAAGGTAAGACAACCTTATTAAGCATTTGTGTGAAGCTACGAAGAGTTTGGATCTGAAAATCCATGTATTAATGCCTACAATAACTCTGTTTAACAATAAAAATAGATTGCAGGTTATATATAACCAGTGAAAAATTAAAGCAAGTAGGTTTATTTGTGTGCCTTCATAAAATGCTTACTAAATAGATATTTGTAATTGTTCATAATTTATGCATGTTTCATGTTACATACATACATACATATAATACATGTATGTTCAAGAAATTAATGTTTGTCAAAAGAAGTGAAACTGGCTGTGCATAATTATTTAATCCTGCCTATTTTGTTCTCTGTGATTAAAAGTTGAGTATGTCAGAACAAACTTTAAAAAGTAAGTTGAATGTAGTAGGATTGCTTTAAAAAGAGTGTATGGTGAAATAAAAAAGGTCCAGGTACTCTTCAATATCTTCATAAATGACTTAAATGAGGGGATAGAAGGGGAACTTACCAAATTTGCATATGATACTGAGCTGGCAGTAGCTAACAGCAGTGGTGGGATTTAAATATCTTTACACCGGTTCGGTGAACGTGGTGGATGCTCTATGTGCGTGTGTACAACAAATGTGCACTTTGTGCAGGCACAGAGGCATTCCAACTCACCTCCTGCAAGCCTGCACTCTCCCGATCTCTTCAGCAGCTGCCAGGCAGCACTCTCCTGTGCCGCGCAAAGCAGCTGCGCTTCAAAAAGAGAGAATAAAGGTGAGTATGGGAGCCCGGGCGGGCAGTTGGGCTGAACAGCAGAGTGGCAGAGAGAACTGGTTTGGTCTTCACTGCTCATCACTGCTACTGGCTTGGCAGAACCGGGCCAAATCGGTAGAATACCACCACTGGCTAATACCCAAGATATAGGCTCGGGATCCAGGTGGATCTTGATAGACATGAACACTGGGCCCTATCTAACAAAATGAAATTCAATGTAGAGAAAATTAAAGTCCTATACTTAGACATTAAAACCAAAAGTACACATATAGACTGGGTGAAATCAGGCTTAATAGCAGTAACTGTGAGAGGGATCTTGGAGTCTTAGTGGACAACCAGCTAAATATGAGCCAGCAGTGTGCAGCAGCAGCCAAAAAAGCCAGTGCAAACCTAAGTTGCATTAACAGAGGGATACAATCAAGATCAGGTGAGGTACTAATACAAAACTATAAGGCCTTAGTAAGACCACATCTAGATTACTGCATCCAGTTTTGGTCACCACACTATAAAAAAGATGTTAAGACTGTAGAAAGAATGCAGAGAAGAGCAATCAGGATGATTAGGGGATTGGAGGCTAAAACATACAATGAGCAGTTGCAGGAACTAGGCATGGCTAGTCTAGTAAAGAGAAAGACCAGGGGAGACATGATAGCAGTCTTCCAATATTTGAGGGGCTGCCCCAGAGAAGAGTTGGTCAAGCTATTTTCCAAAGCATCCAGACAAGGAATAATGGATGAAAACTGAACAAGGAAAGAGTCAACCTGGAAATAAGGAGAAATTTTCTGACAGTGAGAACAATCAACCAATGAAATAGTTTGCCTTCGGAAGTTGTGGGAGTTTTATCACTTGAGACTTCCAAGAAAAGTTTGGACTGCCTTTTGTCAGAAATAGTGTAGGGTCTCCTGCTTGGGCGGAGGGTTGGATTAGATGACCTACAAGGTCCCTTCCAACTCTGTTAATCTGTTAAAGGTCAAGAAAGAATGAGTGGTGCATGAATGAATGTAAAAGTGAGTAGTCAGTTTGAAAAAAGTACACTGAGATGGTTTGATCACATAGAAACAATGATTGAATTCTGAAACAAACACACATAGGAAGAGGAAATGGTTTGAGACGAAAGCACTGATTATTAGGATGGAATCGATGACATTCTGAAAGAAAGATGAGTTTTTTAAAAACAAAAAATAATGTATCCATTGGTTTGTGCAGGGGTGGGATTCTACAGGTTCGCACCTATTCGCTAGAACAGGTGGTTAACATTCTAAGCAGTTCGGAGAACGGTTGTTAGAAGAAATTACTGGCCTAATCCTGTAAGGAAGGCAGGAAGGAAACATTCTGGTGTTCCTTACAGAAACTGCCTCTCCATTAACCCTTATTACATTCTTGGCAGGACTAGACTTCCTGTCTCAGGAACTTCTCTGGAGTTTTTTTCCCCCTCCTTTGCTGGTACTTTGCTTGTGTGGAGTGACCATTCAAAGTTACAATGGCACTGAAAAAAGTAACTTATGACCATTTTTCACGCTTACGACTGTTGCAGCATCCCCACAGTCATGAGAGGCCAGGTGAAGAGATGCATGTCTTGATGTGAGTGATATTGAGTTGGCCACACCCAGCCAATAACATGACCACCAAGCCATGCCCACCAACTTAGCCACACCCACAGAACCGGTTGTTAAAAAATTGGAATCCCACCCCTGGGTCTGTGGATATGGTACCAGTCAGTTTGCAAGAACAGAAAGCTATGAAGTGAAACTAGAATTAGCTATGTACTAATAAAGGAGAATATTTGTAGCTCAGGATTGACACAAAGGGTCCTTGGTGTTCTCTGAGCTTGCTTGTTTTCTTGCAGAAGGTTCATTATGCAAACTAGGAGGGCCATTTGCTGTCAGTTTAAATTCTGGTGGCTTGCCTACCATTGTTGGTGGGGGTAGTCTTTGGTTGGGCTGTTTGCTGTTGGCTTCTTTGGCAGTTTCCACCAGCAATCAGCACTGGGATCAGCATATATTAATTCCAAGTTATCATAAGACCAACAGTCAAGTAAACAATACCCTAATCAACAAACTGCCAAGGAAACAAACAGCACAACCAACAATGACAGGCAAGCCCCAGAATATAAACTGACAGCAAACAGCACTCTTTACTAGCACTGATGATGTTACCCAATTTGGATAATGAAACGTCTATAAGAAAACAAGCAAGCTCAAAAAGCACCAAGCCCCACCCCCATTTAGCTACGTTTTTCTCTTCTCTTCTCTTTCTCTGCTCTTTCTCTACTCTTCTCTTCTATTTTTTCTTTGACTTCTTGCCCTTAATAAATTTTGTTTCTTATATCTCCCTCTTCTATTGTTATAACATTACAATGTTATTATTATGACATTACTTTCTCTAAAAATAACTTCAATAGTCATGTATGGTATATTTTTGTGTGAAGTGTATTAAAGTATGTGAGTGTATTGAAGCCTGCTAATTAAGAACCAACTCCCTTTGTTCTGAGACTAATTAGTTGTTTTAGATATTCAAAAATAGACATGCAGGAGGAACTAAGTTTCACTCCTCTTTCCATGCTTCTAGAACAGACTCAAAGGCAGATGAAGTGTTTTCGCCACTCCACTGAGAGAATACAAAAAACATAATAGTAGACAACATCTATAGATCTATGATATAATTCTCTGCATTTCCAATTAAAAGATAAGAAAATTATGGGAGAGATCCTTTGCCTTGGACAACTGCAAATCAGAATAGCTCATGTGACAATGGATAAATTGCCTTAAACTTATTTCTACAAACATGTGTTGGATGAGAATCAAAAGTATTTACATAGCAAATATAAGTCACTCTCACTTCATCTGCTTCTTCTGATTATACCGTCCTAAACCATCCCAAAATCTATTGGATTCCACTATAATATAACCTGCTGAGATCCTGAAAAGCAAAGTCTAAAGCATTTCTAACATTATATTTTATATAATTTTATAAAAAAGATGAAAGCTAAACTAAATATGATGTTCAATATATTATTTTCAGAAGAGATTTCTGACTTATGAAATACAATCTGGGTCTGTGGTAGAAGGCTGTGAGGTTAGCCCTTTCCCTAGTGTTATTTCCACAATGCAGTTCATAATAGTTGCTGTACAAGAACAAAGTTCAATAA